CCAGCTACCCTCCACAAGTTGCAGCTATTTAAGGTTTCTTGTTGGTCAGTCTTTCGAAGGACAGTAGACTTGAAATAGATGTTTGCTTTTCTATCTTACTGGATTACTGGATTTGAAACATTTCTCAAGAAGCTCTGGTGTTGATGGGCCTGTGAGGGAGGATAGAGGGTAAAGGTTTGGGTAGGGGATAAGGACAGTAATTCTGTGTCATAGGACTGGAGTCCTAAATGACTTCCATGGTGATCATCTTGTCCAGGGACAGCCAATATCTTGCACTTGGCAATTATCCCTCATACTGGACCCATGGCAGACAGCATCAACCATAGCACTCCCATTGACCCCCGGATACAGCGTGAGGAGCCTTCTCAACACAGGCAAAGCCAATCAACCAGAAGTAGCATGCCCAGTGGAACCTGTGCCCTTCCCAGTCTAGTGCAGTCCCCCGCTTTTACAGATGGGTGGCAGTCCTGGGAGGGGGAAGGACTATGAAGGGCAAGTGATGTCACAGGTCTCTTTGTGAGAGCAGAAAGGAGTCTGGCAGGACAGTTTGAAGCCTTCGGAAGTATGTTTGCAAAAACATCAGGGCAGAGCAGCTCCCAGGGGGTAGGTGTTATCAAGGTAAAGTCTGTTTTCTCCAGATGTTTCTTGGGATGCTGGCTTGGCCTCAGGGTGTTTTGTGAGAGTGTACCATAGTCAGATTCCACCAACCAGAGCGGGAGGACAAACTTGTCTTTCTACAGCAGCTTCTAAGCTTTGTAGGAATGTATGTGTCAGTCTTGCCGAAGCAAGCTTGTATTTTTACTACTGTGAGACTGGATTCTGTGAAGATTCCATTCTGGAGGTTGAAACCTGTAGGGTTTGCACTCAGTTAGCAGATAGAACACGACTCACTGTGTGATCCTGAGCAAATCCTTCAACCTCTCTGAGCCTCCTCCTTCCTTAGTAGCACAGGGGTGATGATGAAAACATCTCCTTGAGGGGATCAAATATAAGATGCAGAGGTTAGGACCTCAGATGGTGACTGGGCTACTGCAATAACCACCAATTCCTGAGCAGGTGAAAAACATCTGGCAACTATGATTATTAGCCACTAATATTCAGCCACTCCTCAGTGTGGCTGACCCCATGCCATTGTTGGGGCAGAGTTCTATGGACAGAATGGGATGGTTGGTGACCTTCTGATTGGTAGGTGTTCTTTCAAAGAGATTTTCCCAGATGTTACCATGCTGTGCTTTCAGAGGTAGTTGAGAGGAAAAGTGAATGGGGAGGGCTCTGTGGGCATGAGGGGGAACATATAGTCAAGACTTGTTCCAGCATCGCTGTCATCTGCTTGCTAAGTTGTTTCTTACTCTTCTCTACTTAGAGTCTTCAAAGTCTTCTAGGATGAGGGCTCTGCCAGCCTGTGTCATTTTTTCGGGTGAAATCAGAGGGTGGGGTTCTGCCTCCTAAGTGTCAGCAGGCATTCACCTGGGTACAGGAATGGAGGGCCAAAATTCTTTTGGGCCAGGAATGGAGGTCACAGGGATGCAACCCTGCCTTCAGGAGGCTCAGGGTCTAAAGGGGGAAGCAGAAGAGTAAAGAGGTTTGTAAAAACAATGTGGTGGGCAAGGGCCTGTGGTGTGCCTGAATGTGGGATATTGTTCAGTGAGGGAGCCAGGGCAGGGGCCTGGGAAGACTGTCAGGGAAGGCTTTTTGGCAGGAGTGATGCTGGAACTGAGATTAAAGGAGGAGGCAGAATCAGTGAGGAAGAAGAGGGTGTTCAGGCAGCACAGACGCCTGGAAGCTGAGCATGGTGTGTTGGCATGAGAAGGGGGTGATAGAGAGTTAGAGGGGTGATTGACATGGCAGAGAGGCCAGTGGTCTCTGCACTAAACTGTTAGAATGGTGCTACTACAGCATGGTGTGGAGGGGCTGGATGGTTGTGAGTGCTGGGCAGGGCAATGAACCTTCCCAAAATCAATCCTTGGAGAGGATGAGGCCCCTCATTTCTGCCCCAGGCCAGAAATCCTCAGCCTCTGGCGTGCAGAGTCCCGGGAGAGCTTGGGATTGGGCAACAGCTCCGTGGGCCCTTTGCTCAGGAGATGTGTAGGCTCCTCAGGCAATTGTAATGACAGTTCCTCACCTGCCAAGCCCTTCCCCACCTGTCTTAGGAAACTCACAGCAGTGCTAGGGCAGTGGACAGGGCAAGCCTCATTATTCTCATTTTATAGATGAGAGAAATTCAGACCCAGGAGCTTAAGTCATGCAGTGAATGAAGGCTGGTTCCAGGGATTCCTAACCTACTGGCAGTTTCTGTCATAGCAGGTATTTTGAAGGGGGCGGGGTAGCAAGTATCAGCTGATCTCATATTCTGCTGATGGATTTATCATCTCAGATGGGAGGTCTTGTGCAGCTAGACTTCCCAGATGAAGGTGTTTTACTTCCTGACTTTGCTGTCTGAAGCCCTGGTGTATGTTCTCACAAAATCTCCTGTGTGGCTAGGCTGTGTGAACTTTCTCCTTTTGTATTTCGCTGTTTGTTGATAACAATTCTCCGGAGGTAGGGGGAAGAAAAGACCAGACATGGTGGCTCACGCCTGTAATCCCAGCCCTTGGAAAACCAAGGTAGGATGATGGCCTGAGCCCAGAAGTTGGAGATCAGTCTGGGCAACATAGCGAGACCCTGTTTCTACAAAAAATAAAAATTAAAAAAATTAGTCAGGGGCGGTGGTACATACCTGTAGTCCTAGCTACTTGGGAGGCTGATGTGGGAGGATCACTTGAGCCCAGAAAGTTGAAGCTACAATGAACTATGATCACACCCTGTACTCCAGCCTGGGTGACAGAGTGAAACCCTGTCTCTAAACAAAAAGTTGACTGGGCACGGTAACTCACGCCTGTAATCCCAGCACTTCGGGAATCCTAGGTGGGAAAATTGCTTAAGCCCAGGAGTCCAAGTCCAGCCTGGGCAACATAGTGAGACCTCATCTCTACAAAAACTAAAAAAAATTAGCCAGGCATGGTGGTGCACACCTGTGGTTCCAGTTACCTGGGAGGCTGAGGTGAGAGGATTGCTTGAGTCCGGGCTATCAAGGCTGCAGTGAGCTGTGATCATGCCACTGCACTCCAGCCTGGATGACAGAGTGAGACCCTGTCTCAAAAAAAAATGTTGAACTATGAATGTCATGCACACAAGGATGATGTCTGACATCACATCCAGAACTGGACATAAAGTAGGAGGACAAAGAGCGTCTCAGGCCCAGTAGGAATCTTAAAGTTCACACCCATGGGGACTTCAGTTTCCTCCCTGGCATCCATCCTACCTGCATCTAGCCTGGCTGGCCATTTTCTAGGCCCTTCCTCCGTCTTTGGCCAGCTCTGCTTCTTAGAAAACTCCTCTGTATAATTAGGAAAAATCTACTTCCCATTAACAGTCCCCATCTTCTTTTTCCCCTCTGATTGTAGTGTGACCTTCTGGGGCCACATGTGTATTTAACAGTCTTTTAGGATTTGAGGACAGTCGTCATGCCCTTTTAAATTGTCTCTCTTCTCCAAGGTGACCAGCCTAGCCTCTCCAAGCCATCCCTCACTTTACGCTAAGCACAATTTTTGGTGCATATGTGTCACATGCCCCATTTGTGACAAGTCTGTCCCAGACACACTAATCACTTGTTGAGTCAGTCCTGGGCTTTCTCATGCAACTCCATGTGACTGCCACAGTGCCCAGTCAGTGGAGGAGGCTTTTCATTGTCATATTTGCACATTCCTGTGGGTTTCTTGAGGACAAGGACTGTTCATTCTGGGTCCCTAGTGGCTGGCACTCTGCATGGCTTTCCCTCTGTAAATAAGCACTTGCTGGAATGGGATGGAGTTGAGACTTCTCCCTGTGTGGGTCACCTTCTGACATCAGGCTCCAGTTTGACGATATCCGTTGCCTGGAATTACCTATGATACCCTCAGTATTATCCAGAGTTCGGTGGGGACTGCGCCCTCTCTGGTCCTGTGACTTTCCTGTAACAGTGCATTCTCAAACAGTGTCTGTGGTCTGCTGACATCACTAAGCCATTTTTCCACATATGCCGCTTTTCTTGTGTAATTGTGTTACTTGGGTTCCCAAACTCAGTGTCTTAATATAAGCTCTGAGGGGAAAAAAAATCCCTCTCCTTTCCCGTGTCTCTGTCCCCAGGGCGTCCCTGGCACAGAGGCAGGCAGCGTTACTTCTGCTGACCTGAAGTGAACTCATGGTTTTCCCCATTCAGTCCTGCACTATTCGTCTCATGCCGACTCTTGGCTGCCCAGGGATCTTGGCTCCTACTCCTGTCACCTGATATGCCACCTGCCACTCCAGGCCCAGTGAATGAGCTTGTTAACACTGCGTTTCTATTCTGGGATTCGCTTGGTCATTCAGAATGGTTAAAGAGGCCACAAATCGAGGTGTACAGGGCCTGGCAGTGTCTGGCTTTGCTGGACACAGGGCCTGTGACAGTTTGTGAAAGCCAGGCTTTTGTGACCTATCACCAGGGTTTGACATCAGCCCTCCAGAAGTGAGGGTAGTTTTTTTTGAGGCTCTTTCCAAGTAATACTTCCCAGGCTGGGCTCTGGGATCTTAGGGCTTTGGAAAGGTAGCAGCAAAGCTCTTATGATAGAGCCAGTATTTGAAAAGCCACATTTTGCGTTCTCTGCCCTCAGTCCTTCACCAGACCAAACAGAGGCTGCACATGTCAAGTTTTTGCACTGTGCTGGAGCCGAGGCAGCTCTGAACTGGGCAGCTTCTCCTGCTCACTAGCACCTGCTTCTAGTGGGTTGGTTTTTTGTTTGTTTTTGTTTTTGTTTTTTGAGACAGGGTCTCACTCTGTTGTTCAGGCTGGAGTGCAGTGGCATGATCTTGGTTCACTGCAACCTCCTTCTCCCGGGTTCAAGTGATCCTCACACCTCAGCCTCCTGAGTAGCTGGGATTACTGGCATGAGACACCATGCCTGGCTAATTTTTGTATTTTTGATAGAAACGGGGTTTCACCACATTGGCCAGGCTGGTCTCAAACTCCTGACGTCAAGTGATCCTCCCACCTTAGCCTCCGAAAGTGCTGAGATTACAGGCATGAGTCACCATGCCTGCCCAAGTTGGTTATAGCTTTGATAAACAAGATTGTGATTTAGTAACAGTAGCTTGGGTGCTACCATCTCTTTAAAGCTTGGACTCCTAGGGATGATGGTAATAAGGTGTCCAGGGTGGGCTGGGGCAGGGGCCACTGCAGACTCTGCAGGTGGGTCTCTGAGGATAAATAAAATGTTTGTGGCAGATTCCAATACAGAATGGGTGAGGAGTAGATGTTTCCTGACAGGCTGCTTACTGGATATGGTTGCAGTGGTGGTAGAAATGGTTTTTCAGAAACTACATGCTATTTGGACATACTGTTTGGAGGTCAGTGGTCGGGGCTAGAGGAGGTGGAGTTTAGCTATGGGAAGGTGCCTCCCTGAATGCCTGGAACTGTGTTCTCTGGGCTGGGGGGAAACCAGGAACATTCCCACACTCAGAGCCCCAGGCAAGGGTCCCTGCTCTGCTGCCAGATCCTCAGCGAGTGCATTTGCCTTCCTGGTCCTTTTTCATGTGTACTGTGAGAGAGTGAATTAGTCTGGTAGGTCCCAGAATACCATGTGGGAATTCTATACAGAGAAAAAAAGGGGAAATGGAGCTGCTCTGAGGAACCTGGGGTGGGGTGAAGTCAAGAGCCCCAGGCCCCTTGGGGTTCCTAGAACCAGACTCAGTCACATGGAGAAGTCCTGAGTGGGTGGGAGCGTCCCAGAATACCATGTTAAGAATTCTATGCAGAGAAAAAGGGAAATGGAGCTGCTCTGAGAACCTGGGGTGGTGAGAGTCAAGAGCCTTCCCAGGCCCCGCTTGGGAATCCTAGGTGAGAGTCCAAAGAGCCTTCCCCAGGCCCCCTTGGGAATCCCTAGAACCGGACTCAGTCACACTGGAGAAGTCCTGAGTGGCTGGGAACCCATGTCAGCAGTTCCGGTGTTCCTGGTGAGAGAGTCAGAGCATGTGGGGCCATGTGTCTGGGAGCAGGACCTGAAGGAGGACAGTGGACAGCAGCAGTCACAGGCAGGGTGGGTGCCTTAGCCATGTGCTGGGGTTCTGCACCGGGGTCACCAGGCCCCTGTCCTCATTGTCAGCAGAGCCAGAGCTGCCACCCTCTAACCCACTCAGGAAATAGTCAAACCCTGCCTAAGGACCCCAGGAATAAAGGGCCCATTTAGGCCCTAACTGGGGAACTGGCCTGGCCAGGATCTCAGCCAGGCTCTGGCAGGTGGCACCTAACTCCCAGCCCTGGAGGGCGTGGCTAAAAAGCAGCTAAATGCACTGGTTCTGGGCGGAAAAAGCCTGGGCTCAGCTTCTGGCTTTTCCACTTCCTATCTGTGTAATCCTGGGCTACTCAGTTCTCTGAGCCTCAGGGGTTTTTTTGTTTGTTTATTTTTTATCCTTGAAATTAGAATGGTAAGCCTGGTGAAGAGTTGGTGAGCCGATATAGTTAAAGTGCTTCATGCTAGGCCAGTTCACGTCCAGCCCTCTGTCAGTGGGAGATGTCTGGGAGCTTCTGAAGTCTCCCAGCCAGCAGACAGCTTCCCACCCACTGAGGACCTGCCACCCTGGACTGTGGGTGTGCCTAGAGGCCCACTCTTGTGGCCCCAACATGTCAGGAAAAAAGCCCCTCATACACTTGACCCCAGTTGGGGAGTGAGCAGCTCTCCTAAAGGAGCAGCTGGGGGTCGGGTGGAGGCATTGCCCTGGCAACTGAGCAGGTCCCTCTCAGGCCTCTGCTCCAGGCCCCTGAAGGAGGGTGGCTGTCTGCACTCTGGATATAGCTTTCCTGCCACCTGTGTCCTGGTGCCAAGAGCCTGAAACCAGACCTGGCCTTCCGGCCAAAAGGGACTTTGCTTTCACCCAGCCGGAACTGAGACACCGCTAGAAGTTCCTCCTGGCTTTCTCCACCTCAAGGTTCCCACTGGGCTAAGAGGAGGCTCTTATGGACAGGCTTCCTGGGGAGCAAGGGAGGGGGCTGGAACCCTAGAAGGAGCAAGGGGGTCTGGGGCAGCTGCTGTGGCAGTCCATAGACTTGTGTGCCACAGGCCACTGCCGCTGCATGCGCACCTGCATTGTATTTCTTAAAATTATGAATTAACACCATTTGAAAATGCAGAGGAGTTTTTTTGCCAATTGATTTTTTTTCCACCGACTGTTTCTCAAATGATTTTTCTGTTGATATATAATAGATGTACATATTTTCAGGATAGATGTAATATTGTAATATATCCATATAATGTGTAATGATCAAATAAGAGTAATTAGGATATCCATCCCCTTAAACATTTTTCTATATGCTGGGAACGTTCAAATTCTTTGGCTGGGCAAAGTGGCTCATGCCAGTAATCCCAGCACTTTTGGAGGCCAAGTCCAGAGGATTGCTTGAGCCCAGGAGTTTGAGACCAGCTTGGGCAACATAGTGAGTTCCCATCTCTACAAAAAAATTAAAAATGAACCAGGCATGGTGGTGCACGCCTGTGGCCCCAGCTACTTGGGAGACTGAGGTGGGAAAATCATTTGAGCCCAGAGGTTAAGGCTGCAGTGAGCCCTGACAGAGTGAGACCCTGTCTCAAAAAAACAAAAAAACAAAAAACCAAAAAACTCTGCTAATTTGAAATGTATATTTTAAAATCCAGATTTCTGGTACATTTGGCAGCTCTGACAATGCTGGGCCCTGGTCTCCTACATGGCAGCTGTGAGCCATAAAGGGTTGATGCCCTGTACACATTTGAACTGTGACCCCCATTCAGGGACAACCCACTTAGTTTACAGCTGTGGAAACTAAGGCCCAGAAGGGACTCAGGCCCTGTGCAGAGTACACAGCCCACTATGGCGAGCACTGATTTTAGATCCTGGCAGCCTGGCCTTGCAGAGCAGAGCTTTCTGCACTGCCAGTCATAAGAGTAAAAAGCCTCTTCTCCCATCGATAAAGCATCAGTGATAATTACCACTCCTCTCAGAGCTGTGTCAGGATAAAGTAGCCCCTGGCCCGGGCCTCAGTAATGATTCTTTTAAATCTGTACAAATCCTACATCTTGCCCGGAAAATGTTGCTGGAAGCACCACATGCTTTCTCTGCCACCTTTCAGAAATGATTATTTTTCACACACTTGCCATTGCTCAGTGCTGAAGGTTTGTTGCAGTCTCATTCCCACAGCTTCACTGCCCAGCTGCAAGCAGATTTGCTCAAGGCTCTACCTCCCACCAGACTGTGCTCCTGTGTGTGGTGGGGCGTGATCTGAAGGAAGTTCAGAGCCCTGGCCCTGGGCATGAGATCCAAACTAAAAGACCAGGAATAAATCATTCTGCTTTCCTGTGCCTCTGTTTACCCAGTTGTCAAATAGGGGTTTGTTCATTCAGTAAGTATTTACTGAGCCCAACCATGTATTGAGCTTGCTACTGAGAAAGCACCATGATTATATGAGAGACTCAAGTTTCCCCACCATCAGGGACCTGTATCAGATACTCAGGTTCCCTATCTGGTAGAGGACAGAGACCAAAGACATGTGAGCTAATAAATGACCAGTGCTTGAATGAAACAAGCAGAATCCTTAATGAAAGAATAACAGCTTTGACGGGTGGTCAGGAAGGTCCTCACTGAAGACATGCCACTTGAGCTGAACCTAAAATAATAATGAGAAGGAGCAGACATGCCAACATGAGGGTGAAGTTCGTTTCAGACAGGGCATGGCAGGTCTAAAGGCCCCACGTGGGAGCATACTTGGAGCGTTTGAGGAAGCAAAAGGCTGGTGTGGCTGGAATGGAATGAGGGAGGGGTGAGTGGGCCAGTTCCTATTGTAGGCTGAGGCAAGCAATGTGGATTTTATTCTGCATGGAATGGGGAGCCTTTTTTTTTGAGATGGAGTTTCACTCTTGTTGCCCAGGCTGGAGTGTAGTGGCACAATCTCGGCTCACTGCACCCTCCACCTCCCAGGTTCAAGTGATTCACCTGTTTCAGCCCCCTGAGTAGCTGGGATTACAGGCATGTGCCACTACACCCAGCTAATTTTTTGTATTTTTAATAGAGACAGGGTTTCACCATGTTGGCCAGGCTGGTCTCAAACTCCTGACCTCAGGTGATCCTCCTGCCTCAGCCTCCCGAAGTGCTGAGATTACAGGTGTGAGCCACCTCACCCGGCCTGGAATGGGGAGCCTTTGAAAAGCTTTAGAAAAGGGGAGAAGCAATCCAGTTTGAGCTTTTAAAAACTGTCAGGGTTCCAAGAGTGATTGTGGGTAAAATGGGCCATAGAGAAAACAGGGAGGCAAAAGACCAGGCCTGTGGGGGCAAGGAGAAGCTGGACTCTGTTAGCTGTGTTTTTGTGGTAGAGGGGTGAGGCTTTGCAGATGGAGGAGGGTGGAAGGAGGGGATAACTGAGTGCTCAGGGCCCCTCTCTGGGAGAGCAAGGCTGATGTGGAGGAGGAGAGGATTCAGATTCATTCTGGACACACTCAGCTTGAATGGCCTTGGCACTCCCTGGCAGAGCTGCCTAGTGCACTGGGACTCTCAAGATAGTAGGTGATACTCCCTCCTAACTGCTGTCAGTGTCTATACACTGTAAAATCCTCTGCCCATGGGCCAGTCTGGAGGGACTTCATGAGAAATGGGATGCTATGGCAGGAAGAAGGTGCCTCTGTTCCCATTGCTGCTTAGAGCAGCCCCAGGAAGCTGACAGTCCTGAGAGGAGGCAGCCTTCCTTGGATCTCTTTGCCTCAATCCCTATCCTCCCTCCACCAGCTAAGGTACCTAAGTTACGTTTCGCCAAACCGTGCCCCACTCAGCATCTGTCTTCCCATGCTTTGGACTGTCCTGCCCTGCTCCTTTGCTCACAGAGGATCCCTTCACCAGAAAGCTCTGTATTTCCTTGCCACTCAGTGACTCTGGCTACCCATCTAGATGCAGGCAACCTCACTGTCTTCCAGAAAGGCCCCCAGATTGCCTCCCAGGAGGCAATCATTTTCTCCTTAATCCAGAAACCATGGTAACAAATTGGCATGGGCCCACCCCAAGATCCAAAAGTACCTCGTGCCTGTCAGCTCCTTGGCTCCTCCCCGGAGCACATTGAGTATCGCATCCTATTTTTAGGGGTAAAACAACTGCCATATAAAAGGCAGTTAGTGCAGCAGAGGGGCCATCAGGTAGTGGTCAGCCTTCAGGCACCCTGGTTTCAGGCTGCAGCCTGAGCACTGCCTAGCTGGGAGGTGAGTGCATGCAAATCTCCATCTCTCTGTAAAATGGGGCATTTACATTTGGGAAATGGGAACCTCCCTCATACTGGTTTTGAGGATTCAGTCAGCTAAAGGATAGCTAAAGTAGATTCTCATTATTCACTGTAGGTCACAGAGTCATAGTGAATGCTAAACCATTGCTCTTCTGGGCAATACAGGGTCACTGCAAGCCTGTGGTCATAACGTTTCTACCAACCAACCAGTCAGTCCATAACCTTGTGTTATGTGTATCTCTGTTGAAAGTTTTTTTTCTTTTTTTCTTTTTTTTTTTTTTTTTTTGAGACAGGGTCTCTTATTGCCCAGGCTAGAGTGTGCAGTGGTGCAATCTTGGCTCACTGCACCCTCTGCCTCCCAGGTTCAAGTGATTCTCCCACCTCAGCCTCCCAAATAGCTGGGACTACAGGCATCGACCACCACATCCAGCTAATTTTTGTATTTTCAGTAGAGACAGGGTTTTGCTACATTGGCCAGACTGGTCTCCTGACCTCAAGTGATCCGCCCGCCTCGGCCTCCCAAAGTGCTGGGATGACAGGCGTGAGCCACCGCGCCCGGCCGAAAGATTCTTTACTTAATATGCTGTTGATTCATTAAGATTGAACTCATGACTAGCAGCACTATGACTCATGCATGGATGAAGCGTACCTAACACTTTTCTCCATAAGGGACATCACAGCCTTGTTGCACTGAGAACACTGGGCAGTGCTTCAGCACTATGTGGGGGCCATTCTAAACAGTGAAGTCACAAACAGAAAGCCCACAAATGGGAAAAGTATAGCACTAAATAGACCTGCGAAAGGATACTTGTTTACAGTATGAGAGCTGCAGTGAGAAGGTGGAGTGTCACCTTGTTCCACCTCAGCTGGGGATGTGTGCAGCGGGCACACGTCTGCCAGCCCCTTAAGTGTTGGTTTTGCAAGTAAATTCAAGTGAGTAGGTAATTTTGCACATACAGAATTAGTAAGTAGGATCAGCTGTATATGAAGCACTGCTCAGGCCTGGCCATGGTCAGCACTCAGTAAGCTCAGCTGTTAGCATCAGAATCATTACCGACGGGAGTGCATCCTGGCTTCTGGACCAGGCTCCAAGGACAGAGCTAGCTCCCTGAGCTTTGTGGCTTTGTGTTCACCAGCCTGGCACCTTTTTAACTTCTTGGCTTCTGTGGATGTTGGGGTCTGAGGTAGATAGGGATCCTGGAGGCCCTGAATGCCTCCACTGAAGGGTTGGTTTGTTCCAAGTCTACAAACTGTTGAATGGTTTCAAACGGTGACATGATTGGATTCCTCACATGGCTGGGGTGGAAGGAGGGACAGGAGGTCGGAAGGCCAGAGGGCATCTGTGGTAGTCTCAGGGAAGCTGGCTCCAGATCAGGGGGAGAAGATA